AAAAAAAAAAAAAAAAAAAAAGACGCCGCTCACCGCTCGGACCACGTGAAACCTCGGGCAGAATACCATAGCCGCCGTACGGTATTACCGAATACGACAGACAATGGTATTATCGTATAGTACAGTGGGTATCGACGAGTATAGTACGGTACAGGAACAGGCATCAATCTCCCCTGGCCGAAGATCGTCATCATCTTCTCTTCCTCCTCCTCTCTCTCTCTCTCTCTCTCTCTCTCTCTCTCTCAGTCAATCCTTCTTGTTCTTTCTCCCCTGTTGGAGTTCGTGTCGTTGATTTATTTATAGATCGAACTTGGTTCTGTGGATCACAATGGTTGATTGGGTTTGAGGGGGAATTGTTGTTTATCCTGGTACTTCCCCAGATTCTTCACTCATTTGTTTCGTCTCATTCTTCCCCCACACTCGCTCTGTTGTCCTCTCCCTCTTCTTCCACTGAAGCCTCAGATCATGGCCGTGAGTTTTCTTCTCTTTCTCTGTCTTTGGATATGACCTACCGTGTTTGATTAGAACATTCCTCTCCCTGTTCGCTGGTCTCCGACATTCCTCCCCCACCCCTGACGTGTTCCCTCAGCCTTATTCTTGACTATACTGAACCCCCCCGCATGATTCTCACGGGTCACAACGTTCGATAATAACACCGATTTATGATAGAGTCGAGAATCCGAGAAGGCGCAACGCTACATTGTCGCCCTTGACAATGCGCGCTGCCAGAATAAATGGGAGGAGGTACCGGAGCTCGTTCGGAAGATCACCAAACATGCTCCGCACCGATCTTGTGCGTCCCCCTCCCCCTATTCTTGGGAGTCTCCCCCGATGACGGACATTGGGAGGAAAGAAGCTGACATGATGCATAGGCCTCATCCAAGTAGCCTCAGCCGAACATCAAGTCGCCATCGACCTCAGCAAAAATCCCTCGAATTCCCGTCCCTCCTCCGCGGCCTCCTCCACCCTCCCCGAACTGATTCCCTCCCTACTCTCCACCATTGACCGCGGCGACAGTCCCCGACAGGACATCTTCCAGGCCCAAGTGTGTTTGGGATGGCTACATTGGACCCTCCATGAGCCTGGGTTGGCCGTCGCCCGACTTCCCAAGGACTTTGGCGAATCCCTCAAGGCTATCGCCAGTGCCGGGGAGGACCTGACGCCGTGGACCAAAGTCTGCCTGGTTAAAGGATGCTATATCAAGGGTACGTATTTGGGTGGTGGGTCCCATGGAGTCGGCCTGCATTTGGCTAACTCGACGATAGGAGCGGCGCAGCACACCGTAGCCGGGGCCGACGAGGCCCTGGAGACGCTCGATTCGCTGACCCTGTGGCTCAATGGCTACAGTCAGGCCGCATCGCTCAACAACCCCCAGTTTCTGCAGTGGTCCGAGCAGTTGGTGGCTGAAGGGGCTCTGTTGGCCGGCGACAAGGCCTGCCATATGGCCCCCCGCGCGGACGACATCCTGCTGCAAACCGCACTGCGACTCTTCCGACTGTGGTCCACCCACCCCCACGTCAAGCGCGGGGGTGCCGCGCCCGCCTCCCCGCGGGAGGCCAACGCCAAGTCCCTCATCTGGAAATCTTACTACGACCTTCTGTCCGCCATCCTACGCCATGGGCTGCCATACACGCCTCAGGCAAACGGGCCCGCGCGTCCCCAGCTGGCCAGCGAGCTCCGACTGGTTGAATCCACCTGCGAGTCCAACTTGCTCCGCGAAGTCAAATTCCCCACCGCCAGCTCGCGCAACACCCAGGTGGAGGAATGGGTGGAGCAGGTCATTGGGAACTGGGGGGTAATTGGGGGTTCTCAGTGGACCGACGAGGAACTGGGCGACGGTGGCCAGGTAGCCGTGGGCCGCGCCGTCCTCGACGTAAGTCGCCGCGCTCTTCTCATGACAATTTATCGCCGCGGTACCGGGGCATTGCTAACTCATCCTATAGATCCTTTACCGCGCGGCAACCAAGACCTACCACTCACACCTAATCTTGCGCCGGCTATTCCAGGTTCACGCGTCCCTGGCGGACTTCGATCTCGCCCTCAAGGCGTTGGATGCGTACATCGAGATCGTCACGGACGCCAAGGAACGCGCCGCTAAGGGGGCCCAGTTTGGGGCGACGGAAAGCGACGGGACCTTTGTGCGCACCTTGTCGGAGGCCATTGTCATGCTCGGCTGCTTTGGCGCCAAACCTCAGGCTGAAAAGGCACGAGAGCTGGTGGACCTCATCAAGACGGTCCTCGCCCGGCACGTAGGGGAAGGGGACGACGACAGCGGCGCGGACGGGCAGCTGGTGGCCGCCGGGACGCACTCCCCTGCCTCCCCGGCGGTGGCCCCGGGGGATCTGGCGACGGCGTACCGGGGCATCGGCATCGGCCTGGCCAACTGGGCGTACTGGACCCCGGTGAACGAGAAGCGAGATGACATCCGCGCCGAGGCCATCGATTATCTCGAACGCAGCCTGGACCCCGCCCTGGGGGACGACACCAACTGCTCGTCGCTTTACACGCTGGCCATACTACTTGCGGAGGACCGCGATCTGGATGGCGCGGTGGACTACGTCAAGTCGGCATTGACCGCCCCTGGTGGACCGTCGCCGCCCCAGGCGCATTTCGTCCGGGAGAGGGACCTAGTCCCGATGTGGCACCTCCTGGCGTTGCTCCTCAGCGCCAAGCACGACTTCGACATCGCCGAGCGTTCCTGTGAAGCCGCGTTCGAGCAGTTCCCCAACGCAGTCACCTCCCTGACGCACGGCGACCGACGCGCCACCAAGTCACCGAGCAGCCCGGATCCATCCAACGCGGCCGGACTGACTCACGCCCTCATCCGTCGCCTGCGCGGCCGCGAGAAGGAGCGCATCCTCGAAACCCGCATGACCCAACTTGCCTTCGTGGAGCTGGTGGAGGGCCCCGAGGCCGCGGTCAACCACAGCGAGCAACTGCTCGGTCTCTTTGCCGCCCTGTTCGACGACCTGGATCTCTCGTCGGAGGAGCGGAAAGAGCCTGCGGACCATCTGACCCCGCCCAAAAGTTCCGCTGGGTCCACGCGGACCTTCCGGGGCAGTATTTTTGGCCGCAGCAGCAAAGTCCCGCGCATCCCCGAACCGGTCCCCGGGATTCCGCCGGATAGCCCACACGTTTCATCGCGTGCGGCGGAGTCCCCCGCCACCACAGACGCCCCGCCCGCGATCCACGTGTCCGACGACGCCCGACACCACACCCCAGAGGGTTCCGCCGCGGTATCCCGGTCGAATTCCCAGAGGGTCCGCAAGCGCAGCAGCGGCCGGAGACTGGGGGCCGACCCCGTCAACGGGGACGGGGAGTCGGCGGGAGTCCACGCGAACGGCACCCGGTCCCCGCCCGGCTCGCAACCCCCCAACGCACGGCACCCGCTGCCTCCCATCCCTCACAATATCAGCCACGACCGGCTCCCCCCACCGGCGGGGCACGCGGCTCAGCCCCCGACGCACGACGTCCGGGTGCCGAGCTCGTACAGTTTCGACTCGCCGGCGCAGGTGGTGACCAAGTTGCCGCGCGTCCAGTCCCAGAAGCACGCGCTCGGGTTGCTGGTCAAGACCTGGCTGCTGATTGCGGGCCTCTACCGCCGCGCGTCCCTTTATGACGACGCGGCCGAGGCGTCGGAGGAGGCCGCCAAGCATGTGGCACGCGTGGAGGCGCTGGTGGCGGCCGAGGACTCGTCCGCACGGGGCTTCCGGCAGCGTGGCTGGGCCGTGGGGCGGAGCGCCGACGAGCTGCGAGCGGACCTCTACACGGAGCGGGGCCTTTTGTCCACGGCCCAGGGGCGCGCGCACGAGGCCATGGGCCACTTCGAGGACGCCCTCCTGCTCGACTCGGATCACCCCAAGGCGACCATCTGCCTGTCCACCCTGCTGTTAGACATCTGGGACCGCAAGCTCCCCTTGGAGCTAGTCGAGCCGGAGATTGATCTGGACCCGTCCCTGCAGGCCCGGGTGCCGGCGGCGCCCACACCGGAGCAGACCTCCAAACGGCTCAGCCGGGGGCCCAACTTCTCCCTGGGTGCGCACCTGGACAAGCGACAGTCGCAAGCCCTGGCGGCGCCGGTCCTGCCGGCACCGCAAGAAGACGAAGCCAAGCTGCTCAACCGAATCTCTGCGCGCGAGCGGGCGCACGCGCTGCTGTCGGCGCTGACGAAGCGCGGCAGCTCCTGGGACAACAGCGAGGCGTGGTTTGTGCTGTCGCGGGCGTACGAGGCGGAGGGCCAAACGGAGAAGCTTAAGGAGGTGCTGTGGTGGTGCATTGAGCTGGAGGACCGGCGGCCCATCCGACATTGGTCGCACCTAGGGTCGGGGGTGTACGTGCTGTAACCGGCATCCATATCCATCCATCTTCGAAGACCATCCTCCTTCTCTCTCTCTCCCTCCGTCTTTCTAACTGTTCGTTCGCTCGTGCCATCTGTGTATCTACTCTATCTGACACGACGGGTCTTGGTTTCTTGTGTCGATTTTATCTATTTTATTTTTCCCCTATTTTGTTGTCAATTTTGCCTTTCTTCCTTGATCGAGATACCTACCTTCCATATCCTGCCTGCTGTTTGATAGAATTGTTGCAGTTTGTTTTACTTTCATGTATAGTGGAACTTTGGCTAGACTAGCTTTTCTTTCTTTCTTTCTTTCTTTTTTGTTTTCATTGCTCGTCTACACCGTCTTTTTGCGTTTGTGAAGAATAGAAACCCTTTGTATTTCAAGCAACCTAGAAAGAAACCGGACAGACAGACATCTTTGTTTATTTACACAGGACCCAGCAGTGGTCCTCTCCACCCAGTCCTGGATCCAAATCATTCCATAGCGAGGTTTTTGACGTTTTTACCGGGGAGCTGCAACGGGCGTCCAGGCGCTGAACTTGGGGCGGGTCCTAGACAGCCATTGTTAGTCCAAGGGTCGTCGGGAGTAGGTCGGACGGTGGGCGGGCTCACGTGGAGTAGGTCTTGAAGGCACCACGGCTGAGCGTCGGGTTGGCACGGTGATCGGGCAGCTCCCAGACGCGGTGGCCGGTCTGCAAGATCTTGTCCTGGGTGGGAGGGGCATCCACCATGTAGGAGATCCAGGCGTGCCTAGAGATGGTCAGTCAATCTCATCCCCGCCGGGGAGGGGGCCCATATCCAGACAGCGGACCACGCCGGGAACACTCACCAGCCGGGCTCAATCTCCGAGGCGTCACCGTATGTCGACACCTTGTAATCTACCCACCGCGTGCGGACTGGAGGGAATCAGCATCAATCGAGCTGGTCGAACTTGCGATTCGGGGGATGCGGGCGGATCCAAGGACCGCCTCACACCACCTCGGTCACTTACGGGGCAGCTCTTCTCCCAAGTTCTCAAAGTATTTGTTGCCGAAACGGTCGGTTCCGATCAGAGTACCGGCCTTGGTGTCACCTGTATCGAGTTGTCCTGGGTCAGCTTTGGGAGCTCTCGTCTGGTGGAAGCGACTGGTGTGCGATCCGTACCCATGTTCTAATCCGCCGCGAAATTTGCACCTGTCGTCAGTGTCTGTCCTCAATTCCGATCGGGGTCGATCCATTCGTCGTGCCTTTCCCCGGGGGCGCTAGCATACCTGCATCTGGTGACCATATTCCTGTAGACGACGACAATTAGCGGGGAGCTTCCACCGAACGAGCTCAATGGAGATCCTTACCTTGAAACCGATTCTGCGCAGGTTACGCAGAGTACGCAGGATAGTCGACATGGTGGGTGGTGGTGGAGGGGGGGATATAGAGAGGAGAGGGGGGTGTAGGAGAGGAAGTGCTGGAAATGGTGCAAATGATCGCATCTTCATTCGCCGAAGTTGCACTCCGCCCGATCCGGTTTAGCGGGATTCGATGTTTGGTCTGTTTGTACCCGTGATAATCGTCCGCGTTTCTGCTTCATCGCGATCCATCCAGTCGTTTCTCGCTCTGTCTTTCTGTCCACGGTCTCTGTTTGCTTCGCTTGATAAAGACAGCATGTTCGGTCGCATTGGGGGCCAGTCCCTCCGCTGTGCGGTGCGCAGACCCTGGGCTCGACGGCGGTTGTGCAATTGTGAGCGCAAGTTTTCCGCCCATCACCCCGGTCCTAGCATGGCGGCTTCGTCTGGGGTTTCGTCTCTGGGGGCCATTAGGACCGAGTTGGACCGTATTTCCCCGTGCTTTGAGGTTCCTGCGTCCAATATCATCATCCTCGACTCCCCGGCCAGTTTCTACGAAACCCTGAAGGTGAGGGGACCCCCCGATATCGAGGAATGCAGACACTGACCATTCCAGGACAAAATCCGCAAAGCCCGCCGGCGCATCTACTTTTCGACGCTGTACATCGGCAAAACCGAGCACGATCTCATCGAGACGCTGGACCAGGCGCTGGCGGAGAACCCCGACCTCCAGGTGTCCATCCTGACGGACGCCCTGCGCGGGACGCGCGAATCGCCCGATCCGTCATGCGCCTCGCTGCTGTCGACGCTGGTGGCCAAGCATGGGTCCGACAGGGTCGAGATCCGCATGTTCCATACGCCTAATCTGACGGGGCTGCGGAAGAAGCACATTCCGCGGCGGATCAACGAGGGCTGGGGGCTGCAGCACATGAAGCTGTACGGGTTTGATGACGAGATCATCCTCTCAGGGTATGCTTTCCTCCGGGGGGGGGGGATTGTTGGAGGTTTAGATGCTGACAACGGTGGATGCAGGGCCAACCTTTCGAGCGACTACTTCACCAACCGCCTCGACCGGTACCATGTCTTCCACTCCCGGGAACTCACCGACTACTACGCCCGCATCCACAACGCCGTCTGCAGTCTCAGCTTCCAGGTCCTTCCAGACGCCCACCAACCCTCGGGCTATCTCCTCGATTGGCCATCAGCCAACGGCGCCCCCTGTCCGCTGGACCACCCATCTAAGTTCATAGCCCACGCGGCCACGGTGCTGAACCCGCTCATCCACCCGGCGTCGGGCTCCCAACAACAACCTCCCTCCGAACCGAAACCCTCCAGCCGCAGCCCCAACCCCAGCCAGACCCTTGTCTACCCAGTCGCACAGTTCACCCCGCTACTCCGCCCAGACACATCGACCGAGTTCCCCGCAGTGACCGCTATCCTACGCTTACTATGCCAGGTCCCCGCCTTCGCCGGTTCCCACTGGCTCTTTACCGCAGGATACTTCAACATGCACCCGGCACTCTCCTCCCTCCTCATCGCCAGCACCGCCGCCCACCCCACACGCGGCACCGTCCTAACCGCCTCCCCCTGGGCAAACGGATTCTTCGGCTCCGCCGGCATCTCCGGCATGCTGCCTGCAGCCTACACGCACCTATCAGCGCGATTCCTCGACCGAGTCGCCGCAGCCTCTGGCCCCTCCCCAACCCACCCCCCAGCCATCGAGCTCAAGGAATGGCGCCGCGGCACTGTCGGCCAGCCCGGCGGATGGACCTACCACGCCAAGGGCCTGTGGATCACCCTGCCGGGCGAGGACCACCCCAGCGTGACCGTCGTCGGCAGCAGCAACTACACCAAGCGCAGCTACAGCCTGGATCTGGAGGCCGGGGCGCTGGTCGTCACTGGTGATGCTGAGCTGAAGCGGAAGCTGGGTGCTGAGACGCAGTGGCTGCAGAGTGATGCGCAGGTTATTGAACGTGATGATTTGCGGCGTACGGAGCGTCGTGTGGGTTGGCATGTGCGGTTGGCGATGTGGATTGTTGAGCGGGTGGGGGGTGCTTTATAGTGTGTACACTGTACACTGTATATTACCTAGTATCCTGTGAGTCGCTCTGTATATGTGTACGATAAAGATATAGGATATAGAATCAAGGCCCAGACGGGAGAACTGCTTCCGCATGCATCAAAGTCTATGGATCTATCTACATGAATCATAAAAGAATAGTCCTAAACAAAGCGATCGAGAGAGAGAAAAAGACAAAGAATTAGAAAAGAAACATCCAGACGCCAAACCATGACCAAACAAAGAACTTTTTTTTTTCATCATCCCATCCATATCAGGCCCGTCCGGCACGACTCGACACACGAGCCGGCCCTAACCCCTGCCGCACCTCGTCCAGCATGCGAATCCCGATCGCCTCATTTCCGTGCTTGCCACGCTTGTTCTTGACGCCCTTGCGCTTCACCTCGGCGCCCGTCTTGTCATCCCACCCGGACAGGAAGTCATCCATGATGTTGTTGATGTCGTGGCGGGGCGCGACCTCGCGGCCGTTGGCGTCGATCAGGCTGGGCGCCTGCGACGACGCAGTCGACATGCCTGTCATGCCTGTCATGCCCGTCGCGCCGCTGACCATGGACATGCTGTCGTCGAGCTCCTCGTCTTCCTCGTCGAGGGCGTATAGAGCCTCGACGCGGTCGAACCGGTCGTCTAGCAGGCGGTGGCCCTCGGTGCGTGCCAGCGCCGACGACGTCATGGAGTATGCAGACGGGTTGGTGAGCGCGCCCTTGCGCTTCTTGCGCCGCATGGGCGTCCCGCCTGCGGTGAAGACGGTCGATGCGTCCAGGGCGCTGCGCAGCTCGCTGGGTGCCACGCTGGCGGCCGCGCCGGGGCGTCTTACTGCCGCAGCGTCCTCGGGTTTCGCCTGTTTGGCTTCCTTCTTGAACTTGGCGAACTCGCGCATCCATCCCTGGTCTTCGGCGGGCATATCGGGCGCCGGGGCGTCGTGCGAGGGTAATTCGCCTGGTGCAGCAGCTTGGGCGGCTCCGTCCTCGGTGAGCGATGCGGTGTTGGTTGAGGAGGCCTGCACGGGAGCCTTCTCCGTGGCATCGGATTCCCATCCGTCGTCGTAGTCTTCGTCGTCGTAGTAGTCGTCCTGGTCGAACAGCGTGTCCTCCCACTCGCCGGGTTCCATCTCCTCAGCTCGCGTGGTCAGCTGTCCAAAGACGTCGTCGTCCTCGTCGTCGACGAAGGCCTCATCCTCGAGCGCCTCGAGCGCCTCGCGCAGCCGGGGGTCCATGTCAGGCTGGAACCCGGCGATGGCGTCGGGCACGTTCTGTTGGTCCTGATAGGTGGGCTTGCGGGAGAAGGTAGAGGCAGTGGACTGCATCTCGGAACCGTGGATCTGGCTTTGCGTGTCGTCTTCGGTGCTGCCGCCCGCCACGGACATGTTGCGCAGGGCGTCCTCCAAGCGCATCTTGGGCTTACCCTTGCCCTTGTCATTCGAGGCGGCTTCCACGAAGTGCGATGCCCCACCCCCGGTACCCAGCTCCCGCAAATGTTGCATGTAGTCATACTTGGAGTCGTCGTAGTAGACGCCGTAGTTGGCGGCTTCGCCTTCGTTCTGGCGGAGGGCGTCGGGGCCGAACTGGGAACTCAGATCCCTGAGATTCTGTGCGCGCTTCGCGGCGTCGGACGAGGCGCTGGACTCCGGAGCAGGTCCTGAAGTTTGATACAGAACCCGGTCATCGGCTTCGGGGTCGTGGATTCGAGGGTCATTTTGCGAGCGGTGGAAGAGTTGGTAAGTGGTGGCGTTTTTTTTATCGCTAATGACTGTTAGTCGCTGTGGAGAGACTGGTGGGGGGGGAAACATACATCCACTGCTTACGGGGCGGCATGATTGCGAGAGGGGGCTGGAATCGTGGGAATGAGAAAGTCGAACAAAGGCAGGAGGGGAGAAGTGAAGCCGATTGAAGCCCAACGAAAAAGATCTGGATAGCGGTCACGTGGGCTTATCTTATCCATGGCGGGGTTTGCCGCATTGGGCGATGCAAATTTATCCACTTCTTCTCTTCTCTCTCTTCTTCTTCTTCCTCTTCTCCCCATCACCCTCCATTTTCATCCATATCATTCAAAATGGTTCTCGCAAAGAGTAAAAACTCCGCCGGGCTGGGCAACAGCCTGATGAATGACCGGTTTGGCAAAGGCAAGGCCTCGAATATGAAAAAAGCCTCGCACAACGCCGCCATCGTCCGCCAGGATCCCGACGGTAATAGCTATGTGACCAACGCCCCGAAGCAGGCAGCCTGGATGAAGATGCGGTCGGTTACGGAACAGCAGGCTCTCGATGAGTTCCTGTCCACCGCCGAACTGGCCAACACCGACTTTACCGCCGAGAAGATGCACAATGTCAAGATCATCCACTCAGACCAGAAGAACCCCTACCTTTTATCCGCCACCGAAGAGCAGTCCGCAATCCGCAAACAGTCCAAGAACCGAAACCGCTTGACGGTCCCCCGTCGCCCCGCCTGGGATGCGACGACGACGCGGGAGGAGCTCGATCGTCGCGAGCGGGCGAATCTGCTGGAGTGGCGACGTGGGCTGGCCGAGTTGCAGGAGAACAACGACTTGCTCATGACCCCCTTCGAGCGCAACATCGAGGTGTGGCGTCAGCTCTGGCGTGTGATCGAGCGCTCCGACCTCGTCGTCCAGATCGTTGATGCCCGCAACCCCCTCCTCTTCCGTTGCGATGACCTCGAGACCTACGTCCGCCAGATCGACCCCAAGAAGCGCAATCTTCTGCTCATCAACAAGGCCGATATGTTGACCGACAAGCAGCGTGTCATGTGGGCCGAATATTTCGAGCGCGAGCAGATCGACTTCCGATTCTTCTCTGCCCATCTGGCCAAGGAACGCAACGAGCGGCTCGAGCGAGGGGAGACGGAGGAAGACACGGAACAAGCGGAGGATGAACTCGCAGGCGCGACCGATTCCATGAATCTGCAGGACGGGAAGCGCCGCAACATCGAGATCCTCGACGTCGAGGAACTTGAGGAGCTTTTCCTCTCCAACGCGCCTGACAAGCTTCCCGAGAACGACAACCCGGAGCACCCACGGAA